GACGGCGCCGCCGCCGCCGCCGTCGCCTCGGTATGCGCGAGCTCCTCTCCCGCCGTCGCTAAACTGGTCGTAGCACCGCTCGACGCAGAGAATCCTCGGAGGCCGCCGCCGCCGCCGCCACCGCCGCCGCCGCCGCCGCATGAAGCTCGCACGCTCGTCACGCTGGCGCTTAGGACTCTCCGCGCCGCCGTCGCTGCTGGCGCCGCTGCCGCTGCCGTACTAGCTACCAGGGGCGGCGCCGCAGCTGTCAAGGCCGCAAGGCTCTGCGATGTTATCACCGCTCGCATGAAGTTGATGACTGAAGCAGCCGAAGCTTGTACGATCGTCGCAACTGTCGTACACTCCATGGGCTGTGCAGGTGCTGTGGTTATACGACGCCAGGCTACAAGACGTGAGCTTATGAATCCTCTCACTGCCTCCATCCTCGCCCGTAAGAACAAAGTCCCCGATTCGTTTAAAAGCCTCAGTCCTTACCCCGAGAAGTTTGGTGTCGTGTAGTCCTCAAATGAAATGCTAGGTCCAAAAAGATTTTTACAGTTGTCACAACCCGAATCATGGAACTGCAAAAGGGAATCGGCTGAGCAGCGTCCTCAACGCTCCACCGCAACAAACACCGCACCTGGTTGCGCGACTTGATTAGGCGGCACACGTAGCAACAAACAAGATTCTTATTGGTAAGAGCAAAGTCAGAAGGGTCCCGATTGCACTCGCCGTGTGCTGGGACGTCAGCGACCCGTTCCATTTCTGGGCTCCGGGCCCGTTTCTACGTAGATGCTTTTCTACTCCTAGTACCGTATTAAGCGTATATATAGGATGCACCACACCTCAGGCTGCCCGGAGAAAAATACACGGAGAACGGAGCTGCGCAGCGACGCTGCCGGTATCGTTGCTGTAAGGTTGGGCTGACTACAGTTTCAAATTTAAACATATACCGTAGAGGCAAGGAGGTGCATAAATGAAGAATACCGTCACGAATTCAGCTATTGGAAGAGGTCCGAGGCGATTGTTGCAGTTGGGGGTTGGCTGTCGTACCAGAAAACCTGCCGAGGTTGTCCCTCAGCCCGGGGAGTACATTGGATTTCCGGGTGCGTATTGTGCAGCACGTAGAAATTACTTTAATTGGTGGGTGGCGGATGCTTTGGTGTGTGGGCCCTTGGGGCTTCTCCTCGCGTCGAAAAGGCATGATCAAATTGCAATAGCCGATAGGTTCAGGTTCGCAGGGAGTCGGGGTTACGTTCTGCGCTTCCTAAGCCCAGGCTTACATGTGTTTGAATCGATGCCTGTAGGGCTGATGCGTGTAACACATGCAACTAAAACCGAAGCCAGGACTCAGAACCATGCCAAAACTCAAATGCCCGAAATTAGCTTCATATCAACAGTTAGATATTTTCATTCTAGACACGTATATTATTGCTTTATACGGCTCGGAGCTGGATAGCTCAGGCTTTTGTGGGTTTGACTGTAATGCACCTAGGTCGTCCAGGCGCCTTCGACGGTTGAAGTTGGAGTTGTCCGTCTCTTGTCTTCCCAGAATGCATGAGCTATGAAATGTTTTGATTGCATTAAGGATCAGGCAATGGAT